GCCGCCTTGGCCCGCCAGGGGCCTGTCCCGAGAAGTGTTGGGCCCACTCTGGACAACGCTCTGCCCGCCTGGGGGGCCGTCGTGGCTGCCGCCTTCGAAGGTAGGCAGACTGCGCCAAGCTTCGAATCAGCTCGGGCTCTTATGCCGTCCTCACTCTAGGTGCCCCCGCAGCCATCTGAAGACGATACACGCTGGTCGCTGAAAGTAGGTTTTGCTGAATTCCCAGATCCCAATCTACTTCAAGCGCCTTCCTACTTCAAGAATCGGCACGCTTCTGCTGTGTTCTGTTTTTCCGTGGGGGGCTCTGGACCCAATCAACTTCATCCGCCTTCCTACCTCATGTTTTTACCTACTTCTTCCGACCGACGTGTACCCTTGGACACCGGGAGCATGGAACCCACGTGCGCGTGCCCCAGAAAACTAGCCCACAGCTGTGCAAGAGAAAAGCGCACTTTCTCTCTAGGGGTGAGGTGACCCTCGGTGAGTTTCGTTGAGGCCTCCCGTTCCCTGAACTAGTGTGCTTGCTGTCTGCCGGGCAGCCAGAGGCGCCGTCGACGTCTGAGCTGCTCAAGCGGCCGAGCCTTGCCGAGCTACCCTGGCTGGCCGACTTGAAGGCTGCTCCTTGACTGTGTCGCGCAGCGGCCCACAGAGGGCTCCCTGTACTCCCCGGCGGCATGCCCCCCCCCGCGGATCCCAGACCTGGCTGTCTTCGCGCCCCCGTGGCACCGCGGGCCTGCGCTGCACGCCTGGACCCCAGGGATGCCTCGGCGTGGCTTCTCCTGGCCCGACGGATGGATGCCCACAGGTCCTGGCGGCAACGCAGTCCGCCCCTGGTGCTGCACTGAGGCATCCACGGTTACTTCCGCGTTACAGTCGGGGCGCTGAAGAAGGAACCCTTTTCGTTGGGGAGAGGCTCCGTGTTCCTCAATTATTTCACAGATTGCCTCAGGTTTTCCTTTTGTTTTCGGTGGGGATTCGGAGTTTAACTTATGGAAAAAAGGGGCCTCGTTCCTTATTTAGGGTTCCTTAGGTCAACGCCCCGACTGTATTCTGAGGGTGCTGCAATGGGGCATTCATGGTTCCTTCCGCGGCATTCTGAGCCGCTGGCTGGCTATGCCGGGCCCTCCACGAGGCACCAGCGACGTGATCCGTGCTCTCCCTGCCACCCAACGGCGCAGGCACATGAAAGCTGGGAGAGGCCCCCCCGAGGTGAGCAGCACAGGATGAGAAGCAGAGGAGCGCTGAGGCTCGGGTTCGGCACCAGGCGCAGGGACACTACTACCGACGGATTTGCCTCTTCTGCTGCGCTCGGATCATCTTCCCATGTGCTTGCGATCAGGTCCAGTGGGGCAGTTGGGAACACGTCTTCCTCCAGCACACGGAGTGACCGGGCCGCGGCCCACCCGAGCTGGCACTAAAGGGCCCGCTTGCCAGCCACCCGCTGGACTCTGCGCGCTCCGTTCCGCTTCCCCCCAGGATATCATCGTCGCCCCGATGAGCGGAGACCTCGACGCTACCAGAAGTGGCACCCTGCGGGTGATCCCCAGCGTCTTGGCCTTACAGCGGGGACGAGGAGGAGGAGGAGGAGGAGGGAGATGAGGAGGAAGAAGAGAGGGAAGAGGAGGCGTCGGGGTGAGAGGGGGAGCTGAAGCTGGGCCACGAACTCCAGTAGTGACGACAGCTTTTGGACCAATGTCAATTTGTTGCCTCACGTCGGTCCCCTGTTTCGGCACTGCCGCTCCTCATCGCGACTTTCGGATCTTCAGCCGGGAGGTATTCATAATCCCCCGACTAGCAAGCGTGCCCACTAGGATCTCGGGTAGAGTTTGATATGGACAACGCTTCGCGAGATCCCCTACCGCCTTTACGCCCGTGTATCACCATCGTCAGAACAATCCGAACCACTGTTGGAAAAGGGGGAAGGCGACTCCCCTGGATTACCCCTCCTACGGTCAGGAACTGTTGCCTAGCATGTCACCCCGCCGGTTCTGGCCAACCACGCTCTTGCCCGACACGCTAACCCTTCCCCAGCCTCCAAGCGTTTACGCTCCGAGCTTGACGAGCCGCCCGCCGCGCGCAACGGAGCGACACGCGATCTGCTTGCGGGGCACAGCGTGTCGCCGGGGCCGCCGCCGCGACACGTCGAGCAAAAGGCCGTTGACCGTAGGTGGGGATGGGTGCTGCGAGCCCCGACAGAGACGGCAGCCATCCCCACCTGAGGGTGTGGTGGGGGGGTTGGATCGGCTGGTGGGGCCGAGGTTTCTCCGGAGGGGGTGGGGATGGTTTTCCCTACCCGGGGTGCAGTCAAGACGCTGACAGAAGGGCCGCTCGTGCTCACGAGGAGCCCTGGGTTTCGGGCCGGTCCTCAGGCCCCAGGCCAGGGAACCTGCCCGTGGCCGCCTTGCTGATTTGGCGTGTCTAGTGGTAGCAAGGTCGCTGCACTTAGTTCCGGAGTCGGCCATACGTTGGGGGCGTTCGTCGAGGACTGTGCCCAGGGGACCTCAGACCCTGGAAGACTGGCGGCGTTGATATCGACGGCCAGGCCGCCATTGGAGTTCCACAGACTTCCAGACCTTGGTTTCCTTCTTCTCCCATGGTTCCTCATCCGCTGCCCTTACCGTATGGATAGGCCCTGGGCGTGTGGCGGATGCCGGGAAGCGTCTTCGAGGCACTCGAAGCGAGCTGGACGTTGTGGCTGCAGCTGCACTTGCACCTCGGCCGCTCTCCGTGTTCCCGCCATCCCGCGAGAGCCCTCGCCACGGCGACCTCCTGCGAGCTCGGAGCACTCTTGCGCACGGCCCTGCCGTCGCCGCGTGGCTGCAGCGTCGCCCCCAGATGGCGGAGATGGCCACGAGGGTTCGTTGCACACGACCGGTTTCGCGCGCGCGGCCGTGTTCGAGAGTCGTGAGACGACAAGTGGGCGCCGGCCAGCCTTCCGGTGGATTTACGTAAAATTGAAGTGCTGCGGTCAGCGTGTCAGGGGAACGTGCCGAGCTTGGTCAGATCTGGGGCCCCAGAGGGGCCCCGAACCTTTGTGTGTCCCCGCTCTCGCCTCTGCGAACGGCGCCGATGTCGAGAAGGTATGCCCGCATAGGGCATAGGTTATACATGTATACAGTATGCATGCATGCATGTGTCTATGTATGTGTGTACGCATGTATGTATCTACCCAGCTGCCTGCTGCAAGTCCCGCTTCCGTGCCAGCCCAGCATTCTGGATGGCGACTGTTCAAGGGCGAGAGCCGTGATGAGGATGACGGTGATCATGATATTGCTGATAATGGTGAGATTGATCATATTGGTGATGGTGAGGTTGTTACTGCTGCTGGTGATGATGATACTAAGGATGATGATTATGATGATGCTGATGATAATGATGATGATGATGATGATGATGATGATGATGATGATGATGATGATGATGATGCTGATGATGATGATGATGATGATGATGATGATGATGATGATGATGATGGTGTTGATGGCGATGTTGTTGATGATGCTGATGATCACGATGCTAAGGATGGTGCTGCTGCTGCTGATGATGATGCTGATGCTGATGATGATGATGATGATGATGCTGACGATGATGATGATGATGATGATGATGATGATGATGATGATGATGATGATGATGATGATGATGATAATGATGATGTCGACGGCGATGTGTTCAATGATGCTGATGATGACGATAATTCGGACGATGCTGCTGATGATGACGATGACGATGATGCTGATGATGATTCTGGTGATGATGATGTTGATGATGATGACAGCGGTGGTGGTTATGGTGATGCTGATTACTCATGGCGATGATGGTTGTGTTGCTGATCAGGCTGATGATAACGAGGAGGAAGAGGAGGGCCTTAGCCACTTTGGCTCAAGCAATTGCCCGAAGCCACGCTCTGTCGGTCGTTGAGTGTATACTCGGTTAGGGCCCAAGTTGCCCTGAGCGAGGGGGCGCTGCCTCTTTTTCCATGGCAGGATTGTCAGACCACGTTTTTGACATCTTCGGGGTCTCATGGACTTATTGGGGCTCTCGGGGGGCTCTTGGAGCCATCTTGGGGCTTTCTTGGGCCATCTTGGGGCTCTCTGGGATCCTCATGGGGCGATCTGGGAGGCCTGTTGGGCCGTCCTGGAGCGATCTCGGAGGCCCCTGGAGCCGTCTTGAGCCGCTCTTGGTGTGAAATGGCAAGAATTTCAACACCTTTCAAAAAAGTAAAGGAAAGCTCAGGTTTGGGCTTGCGCGGACCGCCCTCGGGGTACTCTTGAGCTGTACCAAGAGCCTCCTGGCCTGTCATCGACCCTTCTTGGGGCTTTCTTGGGTCCTGTTCGGCATTTTTGACGCCCTTCGGAGCGTCTTGGGCCCGCTGGCGAGGCCCGACAGGAACGTCCAGGAGGCCCCAGAACTCGGGGAGATCCTCTGCGCGGGTGTCCAGGAGGTCCCGGGGGCCAGGGGTCCAAGGGGTCCAGGGGGTCAAGGGGGTCTTTGGGACCCAGTATCTGAGGGGTCTGGTTTCGGGGGCGGGGTTGGGTACTTCGAGTCGAATAGGATTGAACATAACTACGCAGCCCCCCCCACCACCCACTCATGTTGCATTGGCCTTTGATGTTCGAAAGGTCGTGTTCTACCGCTTCGACCCCCCCCCCTCCGGAAAACCGGGGGGGTCACTACCTACCGGTTCGAACCCCTCCCCCCCCACCCAGTCCATCATGAAAAGGGGGGGGGGGTCACTACCGGTTCGAACC